CAAATTTCTTGTAGTTTCTGTATAAAATAGATTTACCCATGTTTATGTTTATAAAAATAGTTTTATATTAGTTTTAGTCAGATTAGTTTTTCTGCCATAAATTGAGTTAGGATTTTTTTAGTGATACTTTTTGCTACTGCTTAGTTTTGACCTTGCCTAGGAGTAGGAACTGGTTTGGGTATTTTTTAGATTGTATTAAACTTAGTTTTAGTCGAAATCAAGCTTTTCTAGTTTTGTTTAGCTTGCTACTGTTTCCTACTGTTCTAGTAATTATAGATTTAATTTTACCTCTGTTATAATTTATTTTAGATTAACTTTTGTAGTTACAGAGGGTGAACTTTTATTTACAGTAAAATAAAAAGTTTTATTTTATCTTCTACTAGTTTTGTTCTAGGCATAATAGGAGCACTATAATAGTTTTTGATGTGATTCTTTTTGCACCTAGTTTATTGTTGTTTTCCTTTCTGTTAGTTAGCTCAACCCTTGTTTAGATTCTGTTAAGAATAGTTTTAGTAGGATAAAACTATTTCTTGGTTGTTGCTTGAAGTGATGAAAACCTTGATTTGGTTTCTTTGAGTTTTCTTTGGTTTTGGTTTGAGTGTTTGTGTGATTTCCTTTCGCTTGCTGTTATGTTAATTAGTGGAATACTTATTTGTGCTATTGTTTGACTCGATAGAATTCCTGGAGTACGAGGCCTGCTATTACGAGTTGCTAGCTTTGGAAGACCGTCAACCAGGCAAGTCATTTGATCATGTTTTACAATACCTATGATTTTGTTGCATTAGAATTATTCCTCCCACCATGCATGCAGTAGTAGAATTTTAAGTTATGTTTTTGAGTACTATCATGAGGTAGGATGAACCGATTTTCCCTTGTTACCAATGCTCGAGACGATGTAGTTGATTGCTATGCTTTCGTAGACGGGGTTGGTTGAGTGATTCATAAGGGAGATGCGAGAGTCAAGATGATGACAACCCCATGACTTCAAGTTCAAGATGGACTTCAAAATTCACTACTGGGTGGAGGACGGTTGACGGGCACCCTAGAGGAACCAGCGGATGGCTGGGATGCATGGAGAAGCACCATGACATCTTGCGGAAAGCTTCACCCAGCCACGAAGAGACAGATCGATACCCCATTGACTGAAAGCTTACCTGTGCATCCGCAAGCCATTATGGGCTCTGGCTTGGTCGGCCCTAGGCATGACTCTGGCCGGACGGTGCTACGAGATGTAGAAGAACGGTAGGATTGGATGGGCACCGGCAGTGGACCAGAGGAACTCTTCGGAAGACCCTGTTTTGTTCGTCCCGTCTTCAAACACCAGGCAGTGCAAAGACTTAAAAGGAGGGAACAATTCTTGCGGGTAAAGTGCACAAGACTCTACAGAGTGAAGACCATCTTTTTAGTCAATCTCTTGAAGAACATGCCCCACATCTTAGAGACGTCTAGCAAGTTCTTAGAAACGAGCGACTTTATGTGAGCATGGAAAAATGCACTTTTGGTGTTGATAAGCTTGTTTTCTTGGGCTTTGTAGTTTCTTCTAAGGGTGTTAAAGTTGATGAGTCTAAGATTGATGCTATTAAAACTTGGCCACAACCAACCAACTTACAAAAGGTGTGTAGTTTCCTTGGCCTAGCCGGATTTTATCGTCGCTTTGTAAGGACTTTAGCACTATTGCTTCACCGTTACATGCTTTATGTAAGAAGAATGCACCTTTTGTTTAGGAACCTTCCTAAGATGCCGCATTTAATGAGCTTAAAACTTTGCTTACACATGCCCCGCTACCTGCATTGCCTAACTTTTATAAAACATTTGAAGTGCATTGCAACACTAATGGCATAGGTGGCCTATTTATGCAAGAAAAGTGACCCATTGCATATTTTAGCGAGAAATTTTTTGAAGCTCAACTTAACTATCCCACTTATGACAAATAGTTATATGCTAGTGAGAGTCTTGCATGTTTAGAAACATTATCTTTGACCACGTGAATTTATACATACCGATCATGAGACGCTTAAGTACCTTAAGGGTCAAACCAAGTCGAATAAACGTCATGTCAAATGGAGTGAATTTATTGAGTCCTTTCCTTCTATCAAGTATATCAATGGTAAGGAAAATGTAGTGGCAGATGCTCTTTCCCACAAGTGCAAGTTGGTTACTCAACATGAATTCAATGTTATTGGCTTTGAGCACATTAAAGATTTGTATGCGCATGATCCTTCGTTTCCGATTCCTTATGCCAAATGTCAAGCTAAAACTTACTGGGAGCGATATTATCTCAAGGATGGCTATCTTATGCGGGCTAACAAACTTTTGTACACGAGTCTTCTCTTTGTTTGTTGCTTTTGCAAGATGCTCATGGCGGCGAACTTATGGGACACTTCGGCCGCGACAAGACCTTTGTGATGCTCTCCACCAAGTACTATTAGCCAAAGATGTTTCGTGGCGTCGCACGCTACACCAACCGATGCTCCACATGCAGCAAAGCTAAGTCACAAGCTCAATCTCATGGTCTACATATGCCACTTCCTATCCTGAACCACCCATGGGAAGACATTAGTATGAATTTTGTGCTTGGCTTGCCTAGAACTCAAAATGGAAAAGATCATGTATTTGTGGTTGTGGACCGTTTCTCTAAGATGGCACATTGTATTCCATGCAACAAGATAGGTGATGCTTCACATGTTGCAAATCTCTTTTCTAGGAAAATCTTGCGTCTACATGGAGTGCCCAAGACGATTGTATCGGACCTCGACGTCAAGTTCCTAAGCTACTTTTGGAAGACACTATGCGCCAAGCTCAGAATCAAGGTACTCTTCTCTTCGGTCTATCACCCACGAACCGACGGCCAAACGGAGGTCGCCAACTGGACACTATCTACACTCCCCGGCGTGTTGATAAAGAAAAACATCAAGGACTGAGAAGAATGCTTGACCATAGCCGAGTATGCCTATAATCAAGCACGACATTCTACAACCGGCTAGTCCCCCTTCGAGGTGGTCTATGGCTTCAACCCATTGTCATCATTGGACATCCTCTCGCTACCCCTACAAGAGTGAACAAACTTGGACGCGAGCGCAAGAGCAAGTTATCTCAAGAAGATGCATGAAGATACAAGATACACCATTGAACACCAAGTACAAAGCCTCGCCACAAGCTCAACTCCAACAAGCACCCCATGGTGTTCAAGCTCCGAGATCTTGTGTGGTTACACCTTCGCAAAGACCGTTTCCCCACCGAGCGCAAGTCCAAACTTCTACCTCACGCTGATGGACCATTCAAGGTGTTAGCACGCTACAACGACAATGCCTACAAGATCGACATCCCATGCGACAAGTACAACTTGGGCGACATCTTCAACGTCAAGGACCTATCTCCCTTCCACGGTGATGAGGTTATCGATCCGACAACGAATCTTTCCCAGGGGCGGGGGATGATGTAGAGCATCCTTCGGTCATCCCCATGGACACCACACCGACTCATCAAGCACCAAGTGGACCCATGACAAGAGGTCGCGCACCTGCCATCGAAAGCGTGGTGAACTCACTCATCTTCGAGCTTGACATGAATATGGATGGGTCTTGGTTACTACCTCACCATAGAACATTGTGTATCATTAGGTACGAGGACGACCCCCAAGGAGCTAAGGAACCTCGCCAAGTGCAAGAAGGATGAGAAGACTGCACGGATGACGGAGACCGGCAGCAAGAAGAAGACACGCCCAGGCGTCCCCGTGCGCACGTCCTCTTTTGGACCCCATGCGTACGGCCTATTCGGAGAGTTTCTAGATACCCCGTGCGCACCGGCCTCCAGGACCCCATGCGCATGGCCCCTCCGCTGTAGCTGTTGGGCACCGTGTGCACACGGGCGTGTACCGTACCCACGAGGTCCACTTAACCCGTGCGCACAGGCTCTCCTGCGAGCTGACTGAGATTTGTCTCTTTCGCCCCTCCACTTCGTCCGTCGCCTCCAGCCACCTATATATTTTGTACCTATAACATTTGTTAGGGTTAGTAAAGTAGATGAGATCATTTGAGAAAGCTTTGCTCCTTGTACCTCCTCCCTAAGGAATCAAGACCTCCTAAGGGAGAAGGATCCCCATCATAGGATTATCAAGACCTCCCAAGGGAGAAGGATCTATCTAGATCATTAAGACCTCATTTACTTTGGATTTGAGAAGAACCTTTACCTTTATACTATTTTTCCTTAACTGTTCATGTTATACTTGTGAATCTCATGTGTGCTATTCTAGTGGATGTGTGATTTGGGTTTGTTTGAGTGATTTCCTCTTTGTGTTCTTATTGCTCTTCCCCTTTCCCCCTTCAAATTCTGCAAATTTGAAAAGATCATGAACTAGGATTCCACCCTACATCATAGGGTTCTACTCATCCAGAAGATCAAGCAACTAGACACAATACCCCACATCACAATGGTCCGAGCTTCCTGAGGAGGAGCTTAAACCTCATAGGAAAATCCCTATGCATGGTTGCATGTTAGGGTGGGGGATTTCCCAAAGGCAGCATGCTTGAGAAATAGGTTAGTTAGGGTTTATCTATTTAGATAGTATAGAAGATGAGATTACTTTGCCTATTTTCTAAGATTATGACTGCCCAACAGCTCAAAGGTGAAACTAATCAAACTATAAATGCAAATTTCGTGTGGATTATGTTAGCTTCTTATGGAGAAGGTCCACAACATGCATTCGGTTTTACAATTAGGTCGAGTTAACCATCACATCAACTTCTGCTTTTGAATCCTATCATGGCAATTCTCTTGTATCTCACATCAACTGATGCTCATTTGCCAAAGTACTAAACGTCCCTCCCTTGGGCTTGAAGTTACGTTGGTCAACTGACAGTTCTCCCATAGCAGATCGAAGCAATGTACAGATTCTTGGCCCATTTATCCTGCAAGTAGTTTCCAAGGTTAGCTTGGCACAGCAACAGAAGAAGCTATGGTACTGAATTCCGGAGAGAAGCACCATACGGCCATGTAATCTACTACTCCATCCCGGAGAGAAGCACCATACGGCCATGGTTTGCTGAAGAAGCCACACAACTGATGTATAGACCATCCTCATTACCCTTTTCTATATGCTGTTGAAGCCTGTTGTCAGCCACATTGTAATGATACCTAACAAAGAGAATCAACATATATTGGCTTTAATTTCCATTAATACATTGCCAAACTATTGCAGATTATATTTACTTTAAAACCAACGTGTTAAACAAAGGGCCTGACAATGATATATTTCAAAAAGTAAAGGCACGGATACTACGCAAAGAAATATGTGTACACGAAGAAGCGCAAACTGAAAGCCTTAATCACTAGAAACTACAAGCACAGTTAATACCTCTACCAGTATATCAGGAATTGTGCAAACTAGTTGCTTGGAGGCCATGGCCACAGATATTTGAATTCTTAGATGGTTACTTTGCCTGCTGTTGCATGTTAACTACAGACAGATGGTCTAAACTCGGGTAATAGGTGTAACAAGAATATCTTGCCTAAACTGAACATAAAAAACATCGGAAGCAGTAATACGACAATTAACGGGTTTGCTAAACTTCAGTCGACTGAGACTTAACCAAGAATCAGTAGACTGCTTAGCCGTTGGATCTTTGCGTGGAGCTTCGTGCTAGACTGTATTAACTCCACGGTTGGCAACGAATTTTGGAATTACCAATTAAAAACAGGTATCAGAAGTCCAATGATGTCAATTAATCATATTTGTATCATCTACTTTATTTCAATCATCAATTAATGTAATTACCGCTGCTTCATAGGGCGCCTGGCATTGTAAACTGAAATCCACTGTGATGCTGGGCTCCCTAATCTAACTTTCTTCTTAGGCTGATCATCTTCTTCATGATTTACAAGTAGCCTTCCACGTTTTTGCCCCACCTATAATTTGGGGAAAAGGTTCATAACAAGACACAGAAGAAGCAAGCTAACCAATACTCCCTCCGTCCGGAAATACTTGTCATCAAAATGGATAAAAGAAGATGTATCTAGACTTATTTTAGTTCTAGATACACCCCTTTTTATCCATTTTGATGACAAGTATTTTCGGAAGGAGGGAGTACATGACAGTGAAAGTACAGCAACACAGACCTTAAGGGCCCCATCAATTCTGATGGGCCTTGATGCAGGTGATTCAATCAAACTTTCAAAGAGAGAAATAAGTTTGGCGTAATTTGGCTCTTCATCAAATTTCATATTTGTGACAGACTCAAGAAACTGTTTGAACGGAGGTGGGCAGAAACTGCATAGCATATCCGGAGAGGTAACCATTTTTTTCTTGCAAACAAGGAAACTCTTGGTATCTCCCTGTGATGTCAAGAAAATAACATTGGAACAGACCTAAGTGAACACCTGGAAAATATAGTGAAGTTAACGCAATAGGTATAATTAAATCTACCTGGTAGCCTTGCCAAGGCAATCTTCCTTTTATCAAAAATATAAGGGTGTATGCCAATGACTCTAAATCATCCCTCCTACTACCTGTACGACCTAGATGAGCATGAGCACTTGCATATCTAATTGTCCCCCTAGTAAAAACGAAGAAAAAAGGGTAAGTAAAGAAGTACCATAGGCGAAAAAACAAGTAAACATAGGGAAAATAAGATATCAGGCCTTTGATCATAATCAACATGTTGACCTGACGAATCTCTCCACTTTGATGCTGCACAGTTTAGACATCACCATATCAACACAAATCAGTAATCAAAGAAAAATACACTAATCTGGTTTAAAAAAAAGTAGAAGACTATTGACCCTGAGTTATGTCATGAAATATTGCAATGAAATAGAATTTATACCAATATAAGAATTTATTGATTAATAGAATACCTAAACCAAGATCAATAAGGAAAAGCTTCTTCTCCTCAGGTGATCCAGGCAGACCAAGCAGAAAGTTCTCTGGTTTCACATCACCATGAACAAACCTAACAAAAATAGGATGTGTTAACAAGAATGAACAGCGATGCATTGGTTGAAGATAACTTTAAGCTACCCTTTGGAATGAAACTTCTCAAGAATTGATATGGCTTCTACAGCAATGCAAGCAGCCATATGTGGAGACATCCTGTTGGAAATGTTAAATCTTTTAGTACAGATTACAGAAGAACTTTGTTTTCAATAAAGTATACAATGTCAAAAGGAACAAGAGGATGCTCACTCTTGTCCCAGCGAATTCCATACATCCCAAAGACTGGGACCAAGGATATCCATTACCTGGTTATTTTTTCAATATAATCAATTTTAAAAGAAAAAACAGCCTACCAGTCTAGATGATTAACTTAAATAAACTCACAAGGATATAGTAGTCGCCCTGCCGGCCCTTATAGTGGACTGCCGGTACACCATAGCAGCCGTTGAGAGTCCTTGTTACAGAAAACCCCAATGCTCACTGATCAGAAAGTTCAAGAGACGAAGAGAATAGCATAACTACAAAAAGGAGTTGACTGTCCAAAGTACGTACTGATAAACTTGCCACTCATATGGGGGTGCAAAATTGCACCCTTTACTACTCCGGTGCTCAAACTTCAATGCAACCTACATAGTTATTATCCGTAGTTTTGATTAATGTGACAAAAAGCTGCCTTTTGCATAAACATTTCTAGAGCAAACAAACCTCATATGCATCAGGACCAGTGCGGGCAGTCCCACCAGATACCCTTCTACCAACATACACTTGACCAAAGCCACCTTTACCTAGTTTCCTGTCAGTTATATACACAGGAGAATTACCTACGTGAACCTGCAGAAATGACATGGTATTACGAGCTTCCAAGTAGCACAACTGACAACTCTGACAAAGCGACAAACAAGACATTGCATGCCCTCGTAGCATCATATAGAGCAGAATTTTCAGTGATGCGAAATTGTGCAACAAGGCAGTGGACTTAGCTGTAGCCTGTCATTACACAGAGATCTACATTGCAATGTAAGAGGGCAATTCTGCAGTTCATCTACTTCTGGGCCATGTGCAACTATATTCAAACTACAAGGACTTAAAGAAGTAGCATGTTTTTCCATGATAATTCACTGTTTTGTGTATTGGATTGGATCAAGATAACGGACCTGTCAAGTGGGATGCTGCCAAGTAGCACGACTGGCAACTCTGACAAATAAGATATTGCTGGTCCCTCATAGCATCATCTAGGGCAGAATTTCCAGTGATGCAAAGTTGTGCAACAAGGCAATGGATTGAGCTGCAGCATGTCATTATATGCATAGAGATCTGGATTCCGGATGCAAGAGGGTAATTCTGCAGTTCGTTTACTTCCGGGCCATGTGAAACTATATTCGAACTACCTAGGCCATATTAACTAACTGGTAACCTTTTTCTAGATCTACAACAGAAATATTTGACAGTTTAGGTAAAACTGTTTAATCGTAGCAATGTCTACCCCTAAATTGATGAATGAGTCCCTAATGTGATGGCATCAAATAAGGCATGAAACAATGGATGTAATCTATGTAGGACAGAGGGACAAAGCGAAATACTCCCTTGGATCCATAATAAGTGACGCAGTTTTCAACAAACCCCAGTTCAAAACTGCGACACTTATTTTGGATTGAATGGAGTATTTTTTTTTTTCTGTTTTGTGCTTCGAACATACAGCATGATATCCTATGTTTAGTTTTGCAACATTAACAAAAGATGAAGGTCCTTTTGCTTGTGCCCTATGTGATCAATCTAAAACAGAATGAACATCCTAGAGAACATGAGCAAGGCTAAAACCATTGCACTAAAATTATTGAACTATAAAATCAATTGAAAACTATGTCAGATCGCAAAATGGCGGTTCATGACAAAAAATTATGGAAAAGAAGTACCCTCTCCGGGATTGGTGCTATTCTTGAATCGTCTTCAGCGCCGACAAGCTTTTCAGCACTTTCACCATCCATTCTCAAACCTTTATTGCCGACACACTGAACAACCTTGTTCAAAGCAGGGTCCTTGGATTCACAAACAACTGCATGTATGGCAACAGCTTTAGGGAGGTGTTCAGAACCCAGGTTAGCATCCAAGTCAACAACTTCCGCCCCCTTTCTTGCACGTCTTGGTGCCGGCACCACTCTTCTCCAAGGAGCACCCTTTCTGCCCCTGGCAGCAGGTATATGAACGCTCTTCCCTGCTCTCTGTGGAGCAGGTGGCACCGGTTTCACAGCCGGCTCTGCTTGTTGATCATCAAGCTTCCTGAACCTCAGACGTGCTTGGGGAGTACTGCTGCGCAGTTCTGGCATCCTCTCCCCATGCAACTTAAGTCGGTGTTCGAGTTGTCAGAGCCCCTTCCAATCTGCACAAGCATAAACACAGTTGAAATCGTTGATCAACATACATAACAAGATAGAACTATTTTTGTAGACATAAATGGAAATCTGGAACAAGTGTTTCATACACTAATGTGCCCACAACCACCCAACGTGGCAAAAGTCACAAAAATTCCGTCTTTAGCAGCAGATCACCAGCAATCCGGCACCCAATCAGCATGCGTACAACCCACCCAAATCCCAACTCCACTAACAGCCCGTTCTGTCGCCCAAATCCGGCGCTCACGCGGTGCACACACACAACTGACACCATTCCTTCCGGTGCCCGATCAGCTGGCGGCGGCCAAATCGGACCACTGGCAACCCGTCAGAGCGCGATTTTCCCCAAACGGAACGCTCCCACACCTCCCGATCGCAGAGGAACACACCCAAGCGCCATCTTTGGACCGATTCTTTTTTCAAAAATACTAAAGGAAAAATAGGTGCAGAGACAGAGAGAGGAAGCGGGAGATCGGGGTGCGGGGATGCTCACATCGACGTAGCGGCGGCGACCGGAAGGGGAGAAGGAGGAGAGGCCCAATTCGTCGCCTCGGGAGCCGCGTAGTGGTGGGAGAAGGCACACGAATTCTGGAGATGGAGCTGCTGGTCTCGTCTGTATCGTCTCGTGCTGGTGGCGTTCGTGTGTGGGGGCTTCGGTTTGGGTCGCGGCGCGGGGGGAATCGCGCCGTGTGAGCCACCTCGTCAAGGCACGACCCAAATGGTCCGCCCGCTGTTTGAGCTACAAAGCAGGCTTTCTAGCCCGGCCGCAAACGGACCGTTCGTTCGTTTTATGTCCGCTTTTAACTCATTCCTGGTCTAATTTTAGACCGAGTTTGCGGCCAAACGGATATGCGCGGACGCGAGCGGCGCGCGCCCTTGTTCTGTCCTGGCCTGCCCGTCAGGGAGACAGACCCCTCCCCCCCTTTTCTCTTCCTATACCTTCCTCCGCCCCCCGACATTGTCGTCGCCACCACCCTTTCCGTCCGCGTCGTTTTCCACACAAGGGTCGTCCCAACCAGCACCACGCCATGTCATAGCTGTCTTCGCACCGGCGTTTCCGAAAACATTTGGCCAGCGTTCTCCTTGTTGCGGTGGGAGAGAAACTACGACCGTCGGCGTCGCCTGTTGTCCCCAACCTCATTTGCTCATCGAATGATGAAGAGCTGGTGGCAGCGTTGGTCGTACATGAACACATTAGTAGGAAGCGGCCTCGGTATAGGGGATCAATCCCCGGCCATGCTCCGGCCTTGAACCGCAATAGGGAGAAAGGCCACACTCTTCTCTATGTCGATTACTTTAAGGATGGTGCACTCTTCAGACCACATCAATTTTGTCGCCGATTCCGAATGAGAAGGCATGTGTCAATTGTATTCGCGAGGGAGTGGTCGCGCATGACCCATGCTTTGAGTGCAGAGAGGATGCCCTAGGCATGCTTGGTTTCTCTTCATACCAGAAATGCATTGTGTTCGCACACGAACACGTCACCGTGTACCCTCGACGCCGGGGGTGATACACCACAGCTCGCGTCGAAGGAGACCCGACCGGCAGCGCGATACGCAGGACTGCCGACGGATGCTTTTGTAGACCCGAAACCCCACATGCCCGGGAGAGACCCTGTCAGGGCGCACGGCAGCTATGGGCTGGCCTAGGTCGACCTGATCGCCCCTAGGGCCTCGTGGATCGCCACCCTACAACAACAAGAACAGATGAAGAACGAGGAAGAACAAGGGAGAGAGATAAAAGTAAAGGTAAAAAGTGAGATGATTTGTTCGATTGTGTGTTGTTCAATCGGCCGTCACCTCTTAGGTATATAATAGGCGGATGGACTTCACGTACAAGAAAATGACTCCAACTCACGTCCAAATCTTTTCAAAATTAACCGAACTCGGATTTAGATAAGTCTGGAACATCAGTTTGGTTTTTAGGTCCCACAGGCCACAAACAACCTCGCATAAAAGATGAGCCCAAAAACAAATTTGACCGTTTCGACGAGACGAACAACTTTCATGTTGAACGTTTTTCGATTCGAAGCCATCTTCAGGTCCAAATTGCTCACACAAGACAGCCGATTGGTGGCCCTATCCAACAGACATCATGACTCGTGGGGCGCGTCATATGTAGCCTCCTGGCAGGGCTGCATTCGAAAGGCTCTGACTTTGGCATACGATCTCGTATTGAAATGTTTTTTATATCAAAGTCGACCGTTTCGACGAGACGAAAAGAATTCGTGTAGAAAGTTTTTCCATTTTAGGTCGTCTTGGGGGCTTAATCGGTCAAACTGTACTCGAATATAAGATCTTGGTACTTTGAGCATAGTTTCGGCTTCGAGATGAAATCGGACGTCGATGGCCCAAACTTAAAAGATGTTTATATCAACATTACGAAACTCTTTCATGTAGATCATTTCTCCATTTGAGGCAATCTTAAATAAGTTTTTGACCGTGCCAAAATCTGGTGTCAACACATGCCCCCTGTTTTTCGGCAAAGCTTGTGTGCCGAAAAATAACTTGCACATAGCTTACTCTAAGGACGATGTTAACACTCCATCGGCCATTTTGCATGTTCTTAGGACAATAAGTTTATATCGGCCATTGGTTGTGTGAATATTTTGATGCAAGCTTGGGTAACACTTTCTCAACTTCATTAATCCGACAATAAAGTTTCATAGATATGCATGTCAAAACCATCCATCAACCATATTGTCCACCCTTCTGCTTGGATCTTGCAGATAATCAACAATGAACTTTCTCGAATCCTTACTTTCACCAGCATAAAATTTTCATTAGTAGCCGAAGCAGTGGGTTTTGTTTCAGTCTTACCTACGTTGGCAAGAATAAGAATCGGCTATTGATAGATATATGCAATACACCATGATCACATAGTAGCCAGATGCTTGCTGTGCCAACTCATTACTCTTCAATTGTCATGTCTAGATATATGAGCAATATTAAAGCAACCCAAGGTAAAATTTACATCTAGACATACCTCAAGATAATTTAAAAACGATTCGTCAAAATATTGATAACCCTTGGATATTTGTTGCACTATACTAATAACGAATCACCGAAAGCCTCACTATGAAAATCACCTACAGCAAGGAACAACTCCAATCCAAATAACAATGCATACCCGGCTTTGTTTATTTGTGCATATATATTTTAAGCGTCATGTGGCTTCACAGAATAGCACCATAAGGAGATATATAAACAACACCAACACCTTGGCCATTGCTAGAAATTTAACCATCAATATATAATCACCATGGTACTAGAGAGATAAAGCTAAATTCGGTATTATGAATGATGTCAATATGATGCTCAATAATAAAATCAACCATGATTTGGCTTTACGTAAAGTCTGAAAACTAATAAGCCAAACCACACCCAATCAAAACATAAGTCCACTTTGCAGTTTTGGTGAATTGGTCTATGCATTATATCTTCAATGCCATCAATTTAACAAATTTCTATGCAAGCACTTATCTCAAACTCTACTCAAACTAAGGACGATGTTAGAATACCACACCGGCCATTCTTAGATATATTCTTAGGGCGATAGATAAATATCGGCCATTACCATGAGGTCCATGTAGAATTCACCCACCAAAGCATGAATAGCTGAAATAAACAAATGAAATAACAATAAAATATTTCGGCCCCTTTGTATTAGCAACAAAAATGTAACTAACCAAATGTATAGTGATTTGTTAATACCCTCTCATGATATGGAAAAGTATGTTGCATCCATGGATCAAAATAAATCCATGGAGGGTAATTGATCATACTTGGGGATGAATTCCATGGCAAAGGCATCAATGGCATGGTTGAAGAAAATGGATGATGTGCTAACCGAAGATTTTGATGTTGTGATGCACACCTTCGACTTAATTGTTTGTTGCTTCCATCCTTCTCTTTCTTCACTTTTATTGTACTTGTTACAATAGAAGCATGCACATAAATTTTCTTTTGATTCATCCTCTTGGGAACCCATGCCATGTTCTTCTTTTTCAGCTCTTGTGCACTAAGATTTTGTAATTCCTTCTTTTGCTAATACGATAAGCCGAGCGGGCATTTTGGCTGTGATTCTGTTTTGACCAATGGCAATTCTTTTTTGGCCTTGTTGTAGGACCTTGAAGTATGTCTAGAAGGGGGGGGGTGATTAGACTACTTGACCAATAAAAACTTAGCCTTTTCCCAATTTTAGAGTTTGGCAGATTTTAGCTATTTTAGGACAAGTCAAGCAATCATCACACAATTCAAGCAAGCATGCAAAGAGTGTATAGGCAGCGGAAATTAAAGCATGCAACTTGCAAGAAAGTAAAGGAAAGGGTTTGGAGGATTCAAACGCAATTGGAGACACAGATGTTTTTGGCGTGGTTCCGATAGGTGGTGCTATCATACATCCACGTTGATGGAGACTTCAACCCACGAAGGGTAACGGCTGCGCGAGTCCACGGAGGGCTCCACTCATGAAGGGTCCACGAAGAAGCAACCTTGTCTATCCCACCATGGCCGTCGCCCACGAAGGACTTGCCTCACTAGCGGTAGATCTTCACGAAGTAGGCGATCTCCTTGCCCTTACAAACTCCTTGGTTCAACTCCACAATCTTGTCGGAGGCTCCCAAGTGACACCTAGCCAATCTAGGAGACACCACTCTCTAAGAAGTAACAAATGGTGCGTTGATGATGAACTCCTTGCTCTTGTGCTTCAAATGATAGTCTTCCCAACACTCAACTCTCTCTCATAGGATTTGGATCTGGTGGAAAGAGGGATTGAGTGGAAAGCAACTTGGGGAAGGCTAGAGATCAAGATTCATATGGTAGGAATGGAATATCTTGGCCTCAACACATGAGTAGGTGGTTCTCTCTCAGAAATGGTAAGTTGGAAGTGTAGGTTTAGTCTGATGGCTCTCTCCACGAATGAAGAGGAGGTGG